TGTGAATTGAAAATCAAGAAATAGTAGTATTACTAATTTTTTTTTCTTAGCAATAACTTTGTGAAGAGTTTTTTATAGCACTAATGTTATTGTAATAGCAATTTTTTCAAGGCTATTTCATGATAACATAAGTTTATCATATCATTGAGTTTCTATTTGTACACTAGAAATTTTCCTTGAGTCGTATGTAGCCTTAATCTATGCTTTATAGTCAACAATATTTTTTTTAGTAGTTAAATCTCCATGCCTCTCGATAGAACTAACCATATATTTATCATATGCAGACATAAGTTTTATTGTCAAACACAATATTAAATTCTTATTTGATATTATTAGCGTTCAAGATGTATAGTCTAATAACTCCATTACTTGACAAAAGCAGGTATAAAAAAATCATATGCATTATAATTATAATATTACCGTGTTTGGCTAGCATACATGCATATTAAAAAAATTAGTTAACAATATTCTACTGAAAAATGTATTAGCACGAATCTCGAGTCAATCTTAAAGTCGAAGAAAAGAATGACATGATAGAGCTGGACCAGCCAAAATGTGATTCGAGTACCCAAGAAAACCAACTGGCTCATTCTAGCCAGTATTCACCCAAGTCAGTCGAACAACATACACCTAGAAGACACCCTCTGCTAGAGGGCACTAGCCTACTCAACCAACAAGAATTCTATCAATAGGAAACAAGGACCGATAATCGGCTACTAACATCAAACGGGCAGACCCATCTACCCGGCTATCTTCATAAATCTTCTTAGTCTTCAATACTTGAAGGTCGATCGACAAAAGTTCCCCATCCAGAAGTTCGATTGACACCACTCATCAATTTAGCTCTTTTGGTCCTAGTCGACCAAGTTAGAAAACAACACGACCCTAGATCCACAGGTATTTACTATAGTAACCTATACAACCCCCCATAAAGTGGGGTTATAAACTTATTTTTTCTTCATTTCTCACCCTCTCCAACAAATAAAGGGGTCATTTCTTGTAATAGGACTTTTTTGGTCTCTCTATTCTCTCATGTATCTTCTTACTAAAATGGACTTTAGGCTTTTAACCCTCTCCATATACCATAAATATTTGATTATCTAAAAAGGGTCAAAAGAGCTCAGAAATAACCCATTTTCCTCGAAGGGACAAGTTGTTGCGCACTCATTGCCACTTCTCTCTCTCTCTCTCTATCTCTCTCTCTCTCTCTCACCCTCTCTCTCCTTTTCACTTGGTTTAAATGCTCGATTCATTTGGGCATGTCTTCTAGATAAATTTGGATTCAACATCCTGAAAGGTGCATGGAGAGTGGAGCATACCACTAGCAATAAGAAGAGCAACACCAAGCAAGAAAAAACCTGCAATAGAGACACTTCTAACATGGTATACGCCAAAGAGTTTATGCAAAAACAGATCTTGTAGCCAAAAAAATCACATTTTTGTCACTTTCCGAGAGGTTTTGACTCAAAGTCAAGAACCACATAAAAACATATAGTCGGCTCCTCACAGTCGGGAATCACTCTTGCAAAAAACTGACCAACAACAACTTGACAAAGCTCAACTGATGTCGGTTGATAGGTGTTGAACTAGGCATAGGCCCCAACGTGAAACTCTATCGGCTCCAAATTGTTGAGGTTGGAGTGAAAGAAACTAAGCCAAGGTGCATCCCCCATCATGAGATGCCAGTAAGAGAATCAGATCCACTACCTCAGCTGACACCCAGCTTTGCATTGAAAATGTGTTTTCCTTTCTAGAATTCTATACGTTCACTACGATAAAAATTACATAAATTTTTCTAACATGTTTCTAGGTCAAATCAAAACTTGGGAAACTCAAAGAATTCATGTGCTTTGGAAGATAGCCAACACTCAAGGAACTCAAATTCGATTAGTAAGGCCGACAATGACCCCAAAAACTTCCATCAGTAAGAAATATCACGAACAACCCATAATACTTCCATATCATAAATCTTAGTCTCCAAAGTTTAATTGGATAAAGATATTGAGGTAGTTTTGAACCTAGTAGCAATAAGTTCCATGAAGAATACATCACAAATCATCCCAGTAGTGAGTCTCGGTGATTGCCCCCGTGAAAGAAAAAATAAGAATCACTTAATAAGCCTAAGAATAGGGGATATCTATCCAAGGAGTGGCCTAAGGTTTCATCCATTATGATTTTAGTGGTGTAGGGTTTCAGCTATGAAGAAAAGGAGGGGAAAAGATAGCCAATATATATTATAAGGCAAAAGGAGCAAAAGCCCCATCATGCAAAAAAATTGAAAGTAATGAGAGCAATTTCCATGGTTTACTTCATGCGAAAAATTTGTTGGAAAGAAAAGAAAATAATTTCCATAGTTAACTTAATGCAAAATAAAATTAGAAAGAAAAGAAAACAAATTTTATTTTTTGTTTCATGCAAAATTGGAGATAACAAGTGTACAAAATTACCATCTTTATGTTGATGCTCTTCCTTGCTTTAATCTCCTTAGTTTTCCTTGATGTTTTTCTTGGTTTGAAGAGGGGAGAAGAGGGAACGAAGGGAAAATTAGTG